ACTAGCAGAGGCCCTCTAAAAAATATGAAATTATTTTATATATATATATATATACTAGATATCTATTTATATATATAAACCATGGTGCTAATTTTAAATTCTAATTCCAAAGAATCCCTCATTAATGTTATTACATAAAATGAGATAACTATATTTTCATAACCATATATAGTCAATAAAAATAATTACATTAACCAACTCAATAAAACTTAAAACTGTGATTAAAAAGGCCCACCTGGATGTATGTATTTTGGATTGCTGTAAGTTCTTCACCAAGGGGAACAACAAGCTTTTCAACTCGTCTTTCATGAGAATATGGCAAAATATCTGGAGAATCTTCAGAACGAAGTTCTATCTTCCCTATCAATAGGTTAGTAATAACCTGTTGTACAGCCTATCAAAATTAATTATGATTATATGTTAATTTGTTTATGTTTTAGTCACTTGACAGAATCATAGTAAAATTTTGAAAGCAGCCCTAGAAATTCATATTATTAAATATATTTAAAACCAGACAAAACTTAATATATCAAAAGTGGTACAAAACAAAAAATTGCTGTCAAACTGATCCTAACTCATGCAGAAGGTTTCAAGGACTGGTATTGGATGAAGCAGATTGTCACATCTTTATCCCATGGAGTGACGGGTAAGCTCAAATTGCATTTTGGTTAGCAGACAAGCACTTAACTACTGCACTACCAGAGTGCTATGTAAGTGGCTCAATACGGGGGAAGGCATTTGATGCATCTCTCTCCCTCTCAGTCCTTCAAGTACCCAAGAAACAAGATTGTGCACTCACTTACTCATTGCCAAGAGGTTAGTTACAACTCATAGCAACCCAACATCAGGTTTCTAGGGCTGTAAACAGTAATGGGAGTAGAATGCACATCTCTCTCCTGGATTTCAACCACCCGAGAAGCACTGCTTTTGGGTTAGCAACGCAGCACACTATGGACAATGCCACCAGATCTCCCCCAAGATCTCAGGTAATATCTTATAAGTTCCTCAAATGTATTTGCATTTTCTGGTCAATGATAGTGACGTATTCCTTTTGTCAGCATTTTATTTTATTAATTTTAATGAACATTTACAGAGATTTTGGATTTCCATTCATTCATTGTTGCACTTTTCTCCCTGCCCACCCCTTTGTCAGCATTTTTTAAAGACTCAGGCAAAATATAAGCTTTACATTGTTGTTGTTGTTACTGTTGTTGTTATGTGCCATCAAGTCACCTGCGACTCATAGCAACCCTATGTACAACATCCCTATATGAAATCTCCCAAAAAATGGTATAACAGAGTTAATGTGGGAGATTGATCCATGACAGATACCTTTTCAACAGGTATTTCAGAGACAAGTATTTATCACTGTTAAATAAATGTAACTTGGGAACACTTTACATTTGGCTTGTTAGTGAATGGAGATGAAAAACCAATAATAAATCAATCATTGATAAATTAATAGTTTTCATTTAAATAAGCATATATGATATACATGTATATGTTTCTAACTAAATGTCATCCACCCAAAGCGTGTAAAGGAACTTAAATGTAAAATAAAGACAAGAAAGTAAAGCTTGGCAACCAATATACTTACAAAAATTAGCCCACGAAAATTGTATGGATTATAATAAAATATTGTCTAATATAGTGTTGAAGATGAATCCTGTAAACTGGAAGGCACTCAAAAAAATACAATGAAAAAAAAAATACACAGTAGGAGCATGCAGTGACTTTAGCATACCAACTACCATGAAATGGGTACACAGTATGAACTACTTTCAATCTGTTGTATAGGGTCATCGTGAGTCAGAGGCAATTCAAAGGCAGTTAACAGCCAACTAACAGGAAACATTAATGGGAGCAGGTGGCACTCTAAACACAGACCTCCACATTTCCCTCTGAGCCACAAATGGAGCTTGTGTTTAGGGGCAAATGGTTTGGCTTCTTGAATGAGTTATAAGTGGGGCTGACTGCCATTCCCAGGGCATCTTGACCCTAAACACAGTTTTTGACCCAAACTTAACCTGTATTTGACCTAAAACACAGGTACTGTAATATGTTAACATTAGGAAACACTAGGTAAAATGTCCACTGAAACTTTTCAATCTCTGCAAAGTTTCTGAAAATCTAAAATTATTTAAAACTTAAAAAATAATAAATTTTAAAATATGTTTACTATTTAAAAATCCCATAAATAGTTTTAGGGGCTTCTTATGCACACTAATGTCTGAAGACTATCAAGTGAGAGAAACTTCTAAGACAAATGGGAAGAGAAACTAGACACAAAATAGAAATGTTATAGTATTACAAACAAACTACATAAACATTAGTATGGAAAACTAATCTGGCCCTATATATAATTCTTATTTTCTCAAATGTCAGTAAATGAAAATGCTTTTTACTTACCTTTACATCACTACCTGGGGTGGCACTGAGAGCCAGGACTCTAAAGTTATTTGTATATTTGACTAGCTCCCTTACAACCTTAAGAAGAAGGAAAAAAAAATTTATTTCTCTAATGCAAAAATAACTAGGTCTGTTAAAAAAAGTTTATTATATAAAGTCCATTATGACCCCTCATTCAGAGTACTGCATTCATGATCTAGTGGGTAGATTACTATTCCAATGTATTATGAAGTACATTTATGAAGATCATTTCTATTTCTACACCACACCATTTAAAACTACAGTAGGGTTTTCTTACCCTATAAAGCTATAATGTAAACATTGAATAAAAAAAATCAAAATAGTCAAAGAGCTATCGCAAAGGCGGATGAAAAAGAGTCCACTCTTGATTGTTTGTGTCACAGCTAGTTTCACAGCTTTATCCTTATGCACACTTACCAGATTTTGATGGAACAGTTAAAAATTGAAAAAAAAACTTTCAGTAGCAAGATCAAATTAAATTTGAAATTTTTAAAAATCATTTTAACAATGATTTTGAAAGAAGTAAGATGTTATGTGAAAGGCTCAAAAATTTTAAATTAAGTTTATTCATAAAAGCACTAGGCTAATTTGAGGTAATTTTACAAAATAAGTTTTCCATTTATGTTCTAAAACATTTTGTGACTGACACCAAATAATCTGTCTAACTTTATAGTTTTCTACTCAATGTCCCTTCGTGGTATGATTCATTAATACTGAATAACCTGCGGGACTCCCATACACCCTTTGTAATGTGACACCAATACACAGGAAAAGGGAATTCTTAAATATACTAAATTGTAGCAACAGCTCTCACTATGCTATAGTTACCACATTAGACAGCAGAATTAAATAGTCAACTCCAAAAATAAAAAAAATTATTCTGATTTCAACTTATGTTTAGGAAGATAAATTTGATGAGAACCACACTGAAACTTGATTAAAACACAGAAACACAGAGGATAATTAAAATAAAAAAATATGAAAAGTTAACCAAGAATATTATTATTCCTTTTCAAGGGGGTTAAAAGGGGTTCTCAAGCATTTTCTAGAAGAAGAAATGGTTTTGTGGTTATAACCTAGGAAGATACACGCTTCATGGGGCTAAGGTGCCCACTGGAAGCTATATCTACACAAGTCAATGCAGCTTCAACTCTCAGGTCTGTATTATTATTAAAGTCAGCACATTCCTCATTTTATGCAATGAAAGTATAAGCCTTATAGTTGGGAAGAAAAAAACCAACCAAAAACAAAAAATTAAATAAATTCTTAGAATTTCTTTAAATAAATGTGTTCAAGTTGCTAAATGTAAACTAAGCCTATATAATAAAACCCACATTAATTAAAATGTAATCTAAAAATAAAAATTCCCTTCTCATGTGGAAACTTAAATATACCCTAATATTATCATTTGTAATGCACAGTATTACTATTACTTGGGGAAAAAAACAAGTAAATGGAAAAAACATATCTATTTCCTACTAAGATCAACTATAAAAAAAGATAATATCCATAACACAATTAAAGCTTCAAGGCAACTATTTAACAAAGTGGCAGTGAAGTTTCTCTCTTTACACTAAATGAAACTAACTTTCCTCTTCTACTTTGTTTCTGTTGTTCTACCTTCTACTCTTAATTTTATCTGCTATTACCATCATGGCTTTACCATCTACCTACTAAAGATTTCCGGATCTGTATCTCCAGCTCAGAACTCTCTCTCTATTGAGATCCATATGGCTTAGTGATAAGAAGTTCTGCTGCCATCTCAAAGGTTCAAATCCACCAGCTGCTCCTCAGGAGAAAGATGGGTAATTTTCCCCACTGGAGGATCAGCTATGAGTCAATTCTGATTCCATGGTAAAAAAACCCCAACATCTGCAGAGCGGACATTTACAAATAGATACCTCATGGACACCTCAAAGTCCATATATCCAAAACTGCCAACTCAATAGGAAGGCACTGTACTACGTACGTTGAGTATCATATATCACTTATTCCTTAAAACAACCTTACCAGTTAAATATTATTTTACCCAGATTCCAAGTTATGATTTTTACATACCCAATACATTGGTTTACTAGTTTACTAATAACATAACTCTGCCCACATCCTACTCTGGAACTGTCCAAATTATGTCCAGGATCTCATGATCCTCATCTGACATTAATGTTCTAAACTTGAAGAAAAAAATGTAGCTGAAATAATCATTTGAATTGGAAAAGTCTTTTCTATAACATTTATCTTAATAGAACAAAAACTTTTTACAATAATAATACCACCAATAACTTTCAATACTAATAACTGTTCTTCAAAATACTATGTTTATACCACAAAATACTTCTTAACAATACTATTACCTGACAATAAGCATAGTTTCCAAGGGCTTTATGAGCTTCATCAACAACTAGACACTTTATTTCGGCAGCAGGACAAGCTCCTCTAGAAAGATCATTTACCATGACCTGAGGTGTAAGAAAAAGGACTCTCTTCTTGTGCCATATTTCCTTCCTCGTAGAGGCCTGAGTAGATCCTGTAAATAAAAGAGACATGCTACATTCTAAAATTCAGAAAGTTAATTGCAAAGTATAATAGTCTGGCCTCTCTTCACAATGCTTTGTGCTGTGGTAATGTGTCTTAAGAGACAAGGATGGTTTAAGGCATGTTGTCATGAGGTACCAGGGTCCACCAGATCCTCCGCTGGAGGAGGGGCTATCTCTTCCCGTGCCAGTCAGATTTCATTCGACAGTAAACATGAAGGGGGCGTGGGGGAGGTGTCAGTCCTAGGAAAAAGACATCATGCTAGGAAAGACAGTCACGAAGTAAAGGAAGGCCCTCAACAAGATGGACTGAGTACCATGATGGATTTGACAGGCAGGGATGTGAGGATGGTGCAGGATAGGACAAGATTTAGATCTATTGTTCATAGGATCCCTGGGTTGTATGTCGTCAACTATGCAGCAGCAACAACAATGCGGTTTCAAGACAAAAAGAATTTAACAATTCACCAGAACAACTATAAAATATAAAATATGGTACAAATGTCAAAGTTGGCTCTTGTCTAAGATCAAAACTAGCCGTGTCAAGAGAGTCCTGTAAAATGGCATAATATTTGAAGATAAGTAAATTCTTTAATTGGGAAATCTCTCAGGAAGAATGTCGAAAGAACTCACCTTCATTTACTCATGAAGTATATATACTCGTTGACAACCTACGGAGAGTCTCTGGAGATTAAATAAATCTATTCATTAGGACTAACTTGTTAAAAGTAATGGTGTTTTAAGGGAGAGATTATAAAATGACGATACTGTGATCTGGGCACTTGATTTGGACTTGACAATCATTAGAAATGTATCTAGTTCCTTTGTCACAGATAGATAGGCTTGGCTGCTGATTGAAAGCGCTGAGGTTAGAAACCATCAGCAGCAGGGTGCAAGAAAGATGTTGCAGTCAGTGTTCCTGAAGATTGATAGCCTTACCCAAATAATTATGTCTGCATATTCCTAATCATTCATCCTCCCTCCAAATGTGGGCTAGAATGGGATAATATCTTTGGCAATTCATTTTCTAATTGTTTCCATAAACCAATAGACCCTATACACATTGGGGGAGGAGGGTGATTGATAGCCTTAGAAATCCTGCAGGACAGTTCTGTTCTGTCCTATACCGGTACTAGGAGTTAGAATCTATTCTAAGGCAGCGAGTTTTCTTTCCATCAGGGCGCGCGTTTGCTCTACTCTTTAACCTGTTTCTAAAGTACCTGTCATTTCAGCCATGTGGAGTTGCGGGATACCCATCACCCGGTAGCAAGCCTCGATCTGCTGTGCCACCAGGGGTTTCGTGGGAGCCATGAAGACGACCTTGCCGGAAGGAAACCAGCGGTAAAAATTGTACATTACCACGGCGGCAACAAAAGTCTTGCCCAATCCAGTGGGCAGACAGACGAGAGTGTTGCAGAACAGAGCGGTCTGGGCGATTTGCAGCTGGTAGTCCCGCACCGGGTAGTTGGTTGGGTAAATCCACAGCGTCCCTGTTGACGCGCAGAAACCGCCATCCTCCAAACCTAGCTGCTGCTCAGCCTCAAACGCCGCGACCAGAAACACATCATCGTCCGAGTCCGGCTGAGCCTCGGCAGCTGGTGCGGGGCAACACGACCTGGAGTTGCCCGGGCTCTGCGGCCGCTCAGTTCCAGAGTTGAGACCTGGAGCGTCTACAGATCGGGAAACACTACTGCCCCAGGTCTGGAAAAGCGTCCTTTGCCGTCCGCTCATTACGGCAACAACCCACAGTGGCTCTGCTCAGACACCGCTGCGACCTTCATCGGTTTTTCCCCAGGTAAACTAAGTCAAGAAGGAAGGAAAGGACTCTTCATCCACTTGAAAATCCCGCCCCGATCTTGCTTTGGGAACATGATTGGGCGGCTAAAAGGAAATCCTCCTGCCTCCACACGGATGAGTTACTCTAAATTTGGTCCCCCATCAATTGTATTTCTAGACTCCACATTAGAGTTCCGCTAGTGAAGAATTGGTGCCCTGGTGCCTTTAGAATATTGCTGTGGTCCTCTAAAACATTGATAAATGACCATGAAATTCAAAGGCATCGAAAGAGTTATTATTTCGTACAATTAACACCTTTTATTGTCTTGCATTTCTTTTTTTAATTTTTTTTTTAAATTTTATTATTTTCTGCGTGTGTATCGTTAAATCAGATCTTACTGGTACAGGAGGAAATTGTCCCGCTTTCTCCAGGAGAGCATCCGGTTGATTTGAACTGCGTTCCTCAGGGATTGTAATGCAGCTTCTTGCCACTAGGCCACCAGAGCGGTCCCTCTTGCATTTCTTAATCAAAGATGAAGAGAACAGGAAAAGTGTATGTTTTTGTTACTGTTAAGTCCCTCCAGGCAAGCACTACTCATAGGGACTTTATGAATAACAGATCTAAACCCTGTGCTGTCATGTTCTATCTTCATCATCTCTGACATACCTGAGGCCACTGCTAAAGCCACTACGTCAATTAGTCTTTTAAGAGTCTTCCTTTCTTTCGCTGATCTTTAGAAGCTTGATGTCCCTTTCTAAGGAATAGCCTCTCCTAGTAACATGTCCAAAGTCTATGAAACAATGTTTCACTATCCTTGCCTCCAAGGAGCATTCGAACACTTTCTAAGACATATTTATTTGCTCTTATGTCCATGGCACTTTCAGTACTCTCCTCCAGGGCCACAACTCAAAGACATCAAGTCTTCTTCTGTCATACTTATTCAATGTCCAGACCTGTGTTATGTAGATGGAGATTGAGAAGGACCTGAAGCATTCGCTGCAGAAGGTCAAGGACTGCAGTCTCCAATATGGATTGAATCTCAACATCAAGAAAACAAAAATTTTCACCACTAGGCCAATTAGCAGCATCATGATAGATGAAGAAGACATTGAGACTGTTAACAATTTCAACTTCCTTGGTTCCACAATCAATACTCTTGGCACAAGGAAATCAAAAGACAAATTGCACTGGGAAAATCTGTTGTCAGGAACCTCTCCAAAATGCTGAGGAGCAAGGATGTCAGTCTCCAGACTAAAGTGAACCTGATCCAGGCCACAGTCTTTGAAATTACTTTCTATGCTTCAGAGAGCTGGACAATAACTACAACTGAAAAAAGAATTTATGCCTTTGAGTTGTGGTGCTGGGGAGGAGTATTGGCCATACTTTGGGTTGCCAAGAGAACAAACAAGTCTGTCCTAGAAAGGATGAAACCAAGTTGCAAGGATTTTGATGTTCCATCTCAGAAACTTTAGGCATGTTACCCAGAGGGAAGACTTCTTGAAAAACATCATACTTACAAGAGTGAAGGGCCAGTACAGGAGAGGAAGGCCCTGAATGAGATGGATTGACACAGTAACTGGGTTAATGGGGGCAGATGTGTCATAGACAGTGAGATAGGCTCAGGATAGGACGGGGTTCTGAGCTATTGTGCAAAATGAGTCACAAGCAACATGAAGGCACAGAACAACAACAGCATAGCAAGTGATTGGAAAGACGATGAACAAGGTACACCTTAGTTCTCAAACTCACATCATTGTTACTCAGTAATTCGGAAAGGTTTTGATTTGCATCTCTCTTATTGCCAGTGCTTTGGAGCGTTTCTTCATGTGTCTGTTTACCATTCAAATATCTTCCTCTGTGAAAATTCTTTCCATGCCTTTTGCCCATTTTGTAATTGGGTTATCAGTCTTTTTCTTGTGGAGGCCCATGAGTATTCTGTAAACTTTTGTTATAAGACTCTTGCCTGAGATGGAATTACCAAATATTTGTTCCCAGTCCTAGGTTTTCTTTTCACCCTGTTGGAAAAAGTGAGGTACCATCTCACTCCAGTAAGAATGGCAAAGTTTAACAGGGCAGCAAGTAATAGATGCTAGAGAGGATGTGACGAGAAAGAAAATCTTGAACATTGTTGGTGGGATTGTAAAATGGTGCAACCATTCTGGAAGGCAGTTTGGTGCTTCCTCAAAAAGTTGAACATAGAAATTCCATATGACTCAGCTTTTCTACTACTTGGAATATACCTTAAGAAAATGAGAACTGAGGCACAAAATGAGATTTGTACACCAAGGTTCATATCAGCATTATTCACCATTGCAAGAACGTGGAAACAGCCCAAATGTCCACCTATAAATGAATAGATTGAGAAATTATGGTCCATTCACACAATGGAATGCTACGCAGCATGCAGGAGCAATAACTTTTTAAATTATTACCTAATAGAAGGGACTGGAGAGCATTATGCTAAGTGAACTAACTCAGTCTCATAAGGATAAATAATTGTATAAAGCCGTTATTGTAGAATGAGTATAAGGATCCGGGAGGAGTGGGAGAGGCTGGAAGCAGAGGGATGTGGATGTGCAGGGGGAAGAGGCAATTACTCTTTGGGTTGTACTATTTATTGGGGGTGAGGGAAATTGAAATAATTTGTTCAAGTTTGTATTTGAATTTTGTAAATAAACTAGTAAAAAATTTAAAAAATAATAATCATTTGAAGATAATGCAAACTTTCCCAGTGCAATACATCTCCTAATCTCACGAGTGCTGTTACCAAATGTACTGATGAGGAGACAAGAACCTTCCTCCAGAACTGCCAGAGAGAAAGCATTTCTCTAGAGCTGACAACTGGGATTCGGACTTGAAGCCTCCTCAACTATTAAACTTATCTGTCAATTTGTTTTATTGGGCAAATGAGATGCATACTGCTAATTACTTTATAGCTTGAGTATTTGTATTCTTGCCTCTTTACCATTGTTTTCATTCGTACAGCACTTACCTGTCAGTTTGCTACACTGAGGTAATTTGTGGGTTCTGTGATACTAAAAGTTATGCCACTGGTGCTTTAAGTGCCAGAAGAGTCATCCATGGTGGACAGGTTTTAATACAGGTTCATATACCCAAAGAGAAAGAGAACTAAGACATAAACAGAGAAACAGAGACTTGTACACCAATGTTTATAGCAGCGTTATTCACCTCACAAGAACATGGAAACGGTTCAAATATCTAACTACGATAGAATGGATTGAGAAACTATGATACATTCACACAATGGAATACTACTCAGCATGAAGGAGCAATGATTTTGTAAATCACTGCCTAACTTAGGAAGGACTAGAGAGCATTATGCTGAGTGAACTCACTCAGTCCCATAAAGACAAATATTGTATAAAATCATTATTGTAGAATGAGTAAGATGATCCAAGGTGGGGGAGGGGGATCAGAGGGGTGAAGATGGAGGGTGGAGGGTGATTAATCATAGGCTTGCACAATTTGATAGATGGAGGGGGGGAGTGAAGTAAACGGAAAAGATCTGGTATGAAAAACAATATGTAAGAACTTTGTAAATAAACCAGTATTTTTTTAAAAAATAATTCATTAAAAATGCTATTAAAAAAAAAAAAGACAGACTGTGAAGCAAAGTAAACCATTCACTTCTGAGATAGCATGCCTCTGCAAACCCTGTAAATAATCCAGAAAACCCACTCAAAGGTGGACTAGGGGTTGGTTCTGTTTTAATAGTACCCAACAAACTACAAGTGACTAAGCATCCCACCACAAGAGGTCGCCTTACAGCGGATCCAATTAGGAGTCGAGGGCCAGCAGTCAGCTGTGACGTCACAGTGCCCGCTACCTCGGCTGGTTTCACTCCGGCTCAACAAAGAACCTTCATAGCACAGCCTTGACGTCACTCAACGGCGGGCCCCAATCCCGCCCGGTAGTACATTAGCCCCGCCCCCTAGGCCTGCACGCTGGGGTCATGCCCCGCCCCATGGGCGTTGCGATGCCAGGCCAGCAGGGTTAGCTCAGTGGAGTAGAGGCGGCGGGGGAAGATGGCGGCGAATGTCCCACAGCGGGCCTGGACCGTGGAGCAGCTTCGCAGTGAGCAACTGCCCAAGAAGGACATTATCAAGTTTCTCCAGGATCACGGTTCAGATTCGGTACCAGAGGCGGCGGGGAGGCAGGGCTGCTGTGGCTGAGGGACGCTTCACCCCCCTAGTGATGCCAATACTTTCCGTCTTCCTCGCTGCCCCCGCCCTAGCCCTCGCGCCGCCCGCGGCCTGGGAGGCTGGTGCGGCCTAGCGTGCGCGGGCGAGCTGTGCTCCCGCCCCTTGGGCCCGCCTGGTTGTCGCAGGAGAGCAGCTTTTGTCTCCTGGGGTATACGAGTCACTGTTGGGGAGTTCGAGCCTCCTTGGAATCGTTGGCAGGTGGAGGCCCTGGAAATCGGCACCTGGAATTTAAACTAGATCTGGGAGAGAGGGCCCAAGGACAAGAGACTTGGCTAGAATCCCTTCAAATAGAGCATGGGCTCGTAGGAAAGGAAGGAAAGAGTATGTAGATCTTTATAGGAATGGCGTTCCTCGTAGGCATTTACTAAATGTTGCGTGTGGCTTTTAAAAGGCCGTAAACTGCAGGGTTTTCAGTTTTTAATATGGACTCTTTAAATTTATCTTTTCATCTTTATTAGGGGAATTAATGCACATTTCTGGTACAGTGATGTTTCATTGTTAAAAGCACGCAAAAAAAAATTTCTTGCTCATTCTTTACACTAACGCCCAGCATTTTTCAGCAGCCTCCATCTTAACCACCCACGATGGTGTCAAGGGGTTTTTACTCAACACTTGATGCATTTTCCTATGGAAATTAATATTCGTGTTTCCTTTGAATTATCTTACTGTGTTGTACAAGGTACTATTCAGTTCATCTTCCGTTCATTGGAAATAAAGTCTGCAGTCCTCATAGGCTTTCTCTACATTTTTACTTACGCTTTACTTGCCATTTAGAATAACTGTTTCTGAGGTCTGTCTGCAGAGGACAGATTAGTTGTATTTTTTCTAACTATGGTGATATGGTCATGGATGTTCCTGAATAATCAACATGTATTGTGGCATTAATATATGTCAATATTTGGAAGTGTAAGAGTACAAAAATATCACTCTTCGTTGCTCTTATACAATGTAATAGGATTATTTTCTCTTAGTACATGTTTCAGGTGGTACAATAGAGTAGTTGTACCATTTCTTTATTAACATTTCATGCCTTAAAACCACATCAGAGCCTTAACAAGTCATCCCAATGTGGAAAAGAAAATATCCCTGCGTGGGACAATTTCAAAACACTTGTGTGAGCAAAGTATTTTTTACACAGTATGCATTGTTTACTTTGATACTTAAACTTACATTGGATGATTATTATAGTATTGGTCATATGAACACGAAGAAATACTTGTATTTGGAATATTTTTCTGGAAGCTTATTGAAGAAATATAGTGTTCTAAAGTAATTACTACTTTTAGTCAGCTCTTTACCTTCCTAGTCAAGCCTTATTATTTATGGCACATCTGTAAGAGGATGATCATGAGGAAGAGGAGAAGAATATAAAAACAATAATTGTATTTTAAAAAAAACAAACAAAAAACTTCATCTAAAGCTTAGGAGATACCAGAGGACAACTTTGAGAAAAATAACAAAATGACAAAAACAAGGATAGGGTGAAAGGAAGTAGAATAAAGAGAGGAAACAAGTTATTAAGAAAAATTATTTTGTGAAAAGACATGTTTTTGGGAGATGCTGAATCTTCCATAGCCCCTACAATGTGGCATAATAGGACTGCCATATGGAGTTTCTAAACCATAATCTATGGAAGCACATGGTCAGATCCTTTTACCTCCATGAAACCTCTCAGTGAGTTTGATTTACCACCTTGTTGGTTAGCTAACAGCTGATTGACTATTGTGCTACCAGGGTTCCTTGAAAACATGATTTGACTATAGTAGTTAGGCACTGATATGCCATCTTTGAGAAAGATTAAATTATTGCTCTGAATTGAGAAGATTTTTACTCATAATATTGAGTTCTCAAGGGAGCTCTGGTGGCATAGGGGTAAGAAGCTGCCCTGCAACCCTGAAAACATAAAGATCGAAACCACCAACTACTCTACTGGAGAAAGATGGACAGTCTTCTCCCATATCATTAACTGCCTCTGAAAAACCTGCTTGAGAGTTAGCTGTGGAACACAATATGGTATATGGTGCTAAACACATTAAATGGGTTATTGCATTTTACTGGTGTTAACAACCCTTTGATGCATAATGCTGCTAAATATCTTCTGTTTGTTGTTCTGTGACATGGAGGAGGAACAACTCATAACTGACCCAAAAGATTTTCAGAGGCTACAGATCACACCGGAGATTTCCCGTCTTTATCTAACAGAGCAGCTGGTGGTTTTGAACCGCCTGCTTTTGGATTTTGGCAGTGGAGCTCCTTACCACTAAGTAGGTCACTAGAGTAAAAAAGTAAAGCTTTTGGAAAGGCAAAATCCCTTGCCTTGGGTCACACAACTGGGCTAGTTTTGCAAACCATGTGTTTAACCACTATAAACTTATGTAACAGTGCTTTCAAATCTGTCACAAAAAGGGATGCAGTTGGATTAAAAGGCAACATCCAATATAAAGGCACGCTCCTAGGATGAGGTTGCCACCTACCATGAGCAGCTTCCTCCTACTATCATGTGCTATCATTGATTTAAGAAGATTGTATATAACTTATTGCGGATTTTTTGCCTTCAATGGTTTAGTAACTTCGGTAGTTGTGTTATTAAGTGCCATTGAGTCTGTTCCAATTCGTAGCATTTGCATATAAACAGAATAAAATACTGTACAATCTTGCATGATCCTTAAAATTGTTCCACAGTTTCAGGCCATTGTTCCAACCTGTCAGTCTACCCTGAAAATGTTTTTTTCCCATATCCTTACTTTACCAAGCATGATGTCCTGCACCAGGAACTGGTCCTTCTCTGACAGCATGTCCCAAGCCTCAACGTCCTTCCTTCTTTTTTTTTTTTTTTTTTTTTTTTTT